CATTCCTTCGAAACCGGTGATGAGATCGTCGATCAACGGTAATGGGTAGTTCGACAGTTGAATGAAACTATTCACGACTCGATAGTCGATGCACATCCGAATGTCCACTCCATTCTTCTTGAGTACGATCACGATTGGCGATGCCCACGGCGATTCAGAGTGTTCAATCAGCGTAGCTTCCAGGAGCTTCTTCAGCAATTCGTACACCTTGATCGCTAAGTGTGGACCGACCGATCGGGGTCTTTGAGCGACTGGCTTAGCATCACCCACATCTAAATCACAGATGCTCGCCGGGGGTGGGGCAGCGTTCCCGTCACCTAAGAAAATCTTCTTGTGCCTTTTCAGGATGGACTTCAGCTGTTCTTCCTGAGCCTCCGTGCTTTCACCGGGTTCTCCAACGTCAGCGGCCTCAATATCACATTCAGGAGAGAGATCATCCAAATCAGGTAGCATAACCAACTGGTCCTTCAACTGGGACATGAGCTCGCTCCCTTCCCGAATGTAAACTGCAGGTTCCAAGTCGAGTTCTTCAGCACTCACTCGCATACACCTGGCATAGGCTGCATCAAGTCTTGCGAGTGGTGTCCCAGGCATGGCAGACGAGGGTAACTCGAGATCGTCATCTTCTACGCTCGGGTCATCCTGGGATGCATCACATTCAGATCCTTGGGCCAATTCATCTGGGACTTTTTTACAAGATTCCGAATCGACAACTCCTCCGCCATCCTGGATGTCAGCATCTAGGGTGCCAAATTCAGGCGGGGCTTCGACAGCCATGAGTGAGCCAATTACGCTTGGGGTGTATGCCTCGAGCGTAACATCCTCGGCTGGTCCCACGTCCTCGACGCCCCTCTGCGGTTCTTCCACGATCTTCGTGACCTGGGCTCGCTCAGGTTCCCTTGGTCTTGCTAGTAACTTTGTTGGCCACTTGTACTTGGGAACCATGACCGCAGGCGGAGCCACATCCTGAAGCATCTGTTCATATGCCTCTTGACGCATCCTCGCCTTCACGGACAACGTGTTCTCCTGAATTATCTGTTGCCACTCCATATACCTTCGTAGACCAGGACGCACGAACTGTCCGACTATGGGGATATTCCCATATTCCGCAATCCG